TATTGTTAGCATGTTCTTTTTTCGAAAGTAAAAATTTTGTTTTGACGCTTACGGCGTCATAACGTCACCATCTACTATTTGCATCCGAAGACGAGAGCGGAGGATTATTTCAACACATTTTTTGATAAAGGAGACAGAAATTATTCAGGCTTGATCAGAATTGGTGGCTCTACCTCGCAGATTCTTGTTCGGCGCTACTACAAACTGAGCAAATATGCTACTGAGGGCCAATATGCGAAAACACAACGACAGTAAAAACAACAATAATTACACTAACAACAAAAACATATTTTTGTCCCTCTTTCCTATGAACTAAACAACTACATAAAATTGACTAAAAAATTCTGTAATTATTCATGTTATAAGAAAAATGTACTATTACTTATATCAACGAAATGTGTCATTCATGTAGTAAATAATTGTTTGGTAGCATGACATTGCTCTCTCTTTTTTGTTGGGCAATAAAGGAACAAAAGTTAAATGACAATTTGGGAAAAAAACTTAATTAAACAAAATCGGCAATTCTGAAGGAGAGAAAGCTAGCATCGATCCGAAATTCATACTTTGGAATGCATATTTTGAACAAAATGCACATTACACAAAGTCAAAGTTGCCAAAATCAATTATAAAATAATTCAAATAGTACGCGCGCTCTGATTGGCCATAAAACCATTTTACATGAGCGTATGTAAACACATACTCGATAAGCTGGAAACCACTCCGCTTCGCGTTGTGGTTTCCTACGCTTATCTCTTGTTCTCCCAACCTCCCACGTGTTTACATCAGGCTATGTAAACACGGAAACCATTTTACATTTCTTCAATATCACTCAGCTGATAAAAATCGGTTTCCACGAAAACGTAATGTACCGTAAGGCGTTGTGAAAGGGTTCTTTTTCGTTTCCATCCAACATATTTTATCCCAAATTAACGGAGGACATCCTCCTTTTGTTTTTTAATGATTTTTTTCTTTTACATCTAATTCACCAAACTTTAAAGTTTCCAAAATAGAAGCCTGTTTACATTGCAACTACACAGTGCCACTAAAAAGCCCTAATATTAAATTCATTAAAATTGCAAAGAGACTTCTGGTCTTAATCACACTGAAGAAGGCTTCCTGCCTTCGCACATCATCAAGACGTTAGGGACCTAAATTAACAATCCACAAGGGTGGCGGCAACGTGGACGTGGCAAAACAAAACATCTAATAGGCAGAGCAAAAGCTTTGCACGTGCGTTTCTTCACCGTCCTTTGCAAAATAACATCGTGAAATCATCAAAATTTGGTGGCCTGAGAAAGGAAACTTCGACGGAAAATCGCGTAATTTTCCATTTGGGACTCAGCGCTACTCTTGTACATTACTCTGAGGCGAATTCATGGTGCCATAAAAAACCATAAACACATCCAGCCATTCGCGAAATTCTCTCTAAAAACATAAATTCATTTTTTAATATAAAGGTCCCTAATTATTTCACTGGCTGCCAATCACTAGAGAGGAGTCAGTTGCGTGTTACTACTTGTACTCACATTAGAGGAGAAATGTTTTTCAAAATCTGAAACCTCTTAACGACAAAGTTTTTTATTTGAAACACTAATTACTTTCAAAACTTCAAAAATGAATTGCACTTTAACATCTACAAATTCAGCTAAAGTCACTTATAGTTATGATCCAGTTATTAGTAACCAATGCAACATATGTTTAATCAAATACACAGTAGGTCACGTTTTAACGCTTCTTACACCAAGAATCCTGGAACCCTAATACATCGAATAATCATAGTATTATAGAGCACTGAAATTTACCTTTGTTGCCCAAATACGACCATGAACTACTGTTAAACATATACCCAGACGGCGGGTTTATTTTTTACGATACTCTAAATCAAATGTAGGAAAAAGCAAAGCCAAAACAAAAGCAAAAACGGGAAAAGAAGCAAACTGAAAAGAACACGGAGGCACGTTTCGTTTTCACTCTCCTTACTTATATGATTAAATTAAAATTAGGAATGATCAGGAATCCAATATGGCAACCGGAGTTCATAATCATTCGACATAGAATATAATTTCTAATAAAAATAGAAAAGCAAACAAAAATCAAAGAAAAAATCAAGGTGTAGTTGAGTAATAGAATCTGAAAAAATTCAAGTTGGAGCAATTCAAATTACCTAAACATGATGCTCTTTAATGCAGCTCATCTACAATAGTTTTTATTTGACTGTACGCGTGGCATATAAACCCTTTGTATGATAATGAACAAAACCGCGGCATCTTTTTTTTGGGTACTGAATAAACGGCGGTTGTGGGTTTTTGAGCACTCGTTTGTTGTACGAGCAAAGTTTTTATTACTTGTATAAAGAAAACGAAAAAAAAAGAAAACGACTCCACAGCATTTATCCACCAGAAAGCTGAAAGCTAGTGCCTATATGTTTGTTGTTTTGTTTATCTTCTTGTTTGTTTGTTATTTCCTTGGGCTTGTTCACCAAAGTCTGCAGATTTTGCGCTTCACTAAACAAAGACCTCGCTAAGCATACGTAAAATGTAGTATCAAAAACACAAGATGTACGTAATGAGCACTAACAGAAGCATTTAAATCACAGTTGATATCCCGTTAAAGTTGTGTTCTAAGTACGATGTTTCATTGATCTGGCTGTTACCACCTCTTCTTCCTAACCAGCACTCACAGGCTGAAGTATCTTCTCGTCTTCCTTTACCTTTTTGGCTTCTTCTGCGCTTACTTGGAACAGACGGAGCGACGCTTCCAGGAGGTTAGTAAACGACTTGCGTTTTGTGTTATGCAATTGCTCGATACTCTTGCCTGAAAATAAAGAAAATTTGTATGTCACTTCCTTAAAAATGCATCTATGATTCAGTGTACACCGTGACACATCAATAATCATTAAACAAATAGAATCTATGTTGCCATGTGTTTGTTCAGTTGTAGATCTCAGATGACGTCGATTGTGGTAAAATGTGTTTGGAACTACTCGAAATATTTGATGGCTTGAAAACCCAATCAAAGAATGGAGAGCTGAAGGCAGGGGGGCTAAGTAATGCTAATAATTAATAACTGGTTTCTGACCAGCCTTGTAATCTGCAAGGTCTTACCTTTTAGTCGACTCATTATTCTGTTTTCCCTCTGGGACGCCTCATACTCAACTCGTACGCCTCCTGGTTGTTGAGAGAGATTGGTCACCGCTGTGGCTTGGACTCCTCCGCTACCCATCAGCGATTCTTGTCGCCATGCGTAGTTCCTGGTCCTCTTTTGCCTGTCATCCCAGATTTTATCGATGAAACCGTGATGAAGGAAGAACTCCGGAGCAGATGCAGACTCAATTGAGCACATGGTACCTCCAATCAGACAATGCACTTGGTCGTGGAGGTTAACCCTGAGTTGTCTTTCAAAGTTCACGAAATTATTCTGAAGAATAACTTCTCGCACTGCGACTGCGTCGGGAGGAATACCCCTAAATTCGCGGTTTAAGCACTTCTGTCCAGTAGGTGACACGGCAGACCAAACACCCTGTCTGAAAGGTCCATCCTGCACACAGCCTCTCCGGCCATTCCCACCAAACCCAGAGTCACCACTGTGCCAAAGTTCCTGCTCGTTTGATGCGTCCCATGGGTTGGAATCAAGACTCCAATCCCAGAAGGCAACAGTAACCTTACAATCGACCCTCCGAAGAAGATTTTCGTATTGGAGTATGAACCAGCGATGCCAAGGAAGAAACTGCTGTGCCTCATGGATTAACTCGAAAAAAAGCCTTTGATGCATATTGATCAGGTTTTCGTAATCTCTTCTAAATCGCTGGTCAGTTGAAGCTCTTTTTATAGCGCTGATATAGCGCCTACGTTCTTCCAATGACATGGCTGTGAATTCTTTCCTTATTCGAATGCAGTTGATCAAACTGCCGAAGTGACACTTACATTTTTCTCCACAATTGTTATAAGCGGTACTTCCATGTCTGCAAGCTAATAACCGAACAAAACTGAATGAATATACATGAGCAGATATCTACATCGATAAAATTTTGTCAGAGCCTGTTTTGCGTGGTACTCAAAAACAACATCGAAACCAGAGATAAAAACTAAGGAAAAAAAACAGCAACAAAAATGTAGATAAGCGGAAGAAACGAAGAGAGAAAAAGAAAAAGATGTATTTAATGAAAATATTTTCAATCTATTGCCTAGATAAAATGCATACAGTCGAACTATCCACAATGAGAGAGAGGAAACTGACTGAAATATCCGAATGACCAGCCATCAAAAGGTGGTAGGCGTGTAGCAAGACATATCATTATGACTAACAAATATTCAACACAGCTCATTTATATCCTTAATGAAAGAAACCAAACATTGAGTTAATGGCAATGTGATAATGATTCTATGGTAGTCTGCAGTGATAGGTTTAAATTCTTGTGACAGTTTTGACAGTCTTTTAAAGAGACAACATAGGCTACTTCTCATAAAATGTTCTTTGGAATCACATATCACAGTAACTTTTGCAGGCAGACGAAAAGACGAGAGAGCCAAGCGAAAACCTGATTTGACAACAACATCAGTGCCACGCTAATTTCTGTCTTCATTATGGGGTGCTGCCTAACTTAGCTTAGAAGATAGAAATCGATTTCTTACCGGAACATGTATGTATGTTGCAAGGTCTTGAATGGTCACCGATTCCTTGGCAGGCAGACCCGCCATTGCTCGGAGGCGGATTGGTGCATGTCCGTGATCGGGATTGTTTTCCTTCGCCGCAAGTCTTACTGCAGCTGCTCCATTTACCCCATTCTGACCAACCGCCGTTGAGTCTAACTGAAAAGGGGGAAAACGTGGATTATTGAATTTATCAAATTTAGAATAAATGGGCTCTTAATGGATCTACCCCTCCCTCCCCTAAACCAGCATTAACCCTTAGTTGTTATCACTTGAATGTTGTTAGGTCGGGGGAGGGGTGAGTGCGTGGTTGCTCAGATACGGTTATTTATCTCTTTTCTTGCTGTTAAAAGCAGCCGGCTTCTACTTGGGCAACATCCGGACATGTTGTTCGGATATTAATTGTTGTTCTTCCTCCCCAAACTCCAAATCAGAAAAATGCGTCAAGCCTAACAAAGGGAAACCTTAGTCCCTGATTAAGGATTTAAGGTTTCTGTTCCTTCAGCAAAATTTTAGTAATAGGATTAAATCAGGACAAACTAGAACTAAAAACAGGGTAACCACTAAAAACAGGGCCCCACTGCAAACCACCTCGGCATGTTGGGTTCCTTCTTTTAATGTTATTTTGATTATTATTGTCATTATTGTTCTTATTTTTATTATTATCATATAGTCTGACGTTGTTATTGTCGTTTTCATCGTTGTTGCTTTGTTTTGCTTTGTTTTGTTTCGTTTGTTCCTTTTTTTCTTTTGTGGATAAAATATTGCAAGTGCAATTACTTTCTAACCTACCTGGACACTTATTGCAGTTTTATTGTGATACAGCCAAAATCCTCCGTTACCCCCCCCCCCCCCCCCCCCCCCCCCCCCCCCCCCCCCCCCCCCCTTGCTCCAGGTGATAAAAAATGACCAATCCCGTTATAATCCTCGAAACAGAAGAAGCGATTCTAAATTCTTTTAACTAATCTACAGGCAAATGTGTGGTAGATAGAGTGGAGAATTAACACTTGGATCATGGGAGGTAAATAGTTAACCAAATATAAAACTGATAACCTAACAGAATCAAAGAACAAGAACATTGGATAACAAGTAATGAAGAAAATTTCTCACGAGCAACACATCTGACTTCAGTTATTTGTGTGTGGATCTTCTTGATTCCTTTCCGAGCCAATCATCATCCAGTATCCTTTATGTTGCCATGGTCACTTAAAATTAACCAATCCCGGTATGGGAAAACTGATAAAATGATTCCAATTAAATTCAGTTGTGCCAATCAGTGCTTCGAAACACTTTTTTTAAAATAGAAAAAAAATTACAGTAAAAACATCGTTTTAAAAATGTTTGTAAACAGATTAATATAATAACATGTTATAAGAAAAATTATGAAACAAATTGTTATAAAAAAATTGTAAGAAAAAATTTTATTAAATGAATTGTAAAAAATTGCTGGGGGTGATTGCAATTGTAAATTTGTAACTGAAATGAGACTCACACAGAAATTTCATTGATTCCCTTGTAATCAGCTCTGATATCAAGATGCAAAAAAAACTAAGATATGCACAAAGCGGCTACTGTGCATATATAAACTAAGTCGGCTTTGAACTTCACGTGCAAACTTTCTTTGAAATTATGCAGAAAAGGTTAATCTCGATTTTCTGTCACCAAACTCGCTTTGAGGGTAAAATCATGCACAGCTAAGACCAAGAGTGTTTCTGACAGGCTGTTCCGTTGCAATAGCAGCCTAAAATTTCGAAGAAATTATGACAGCTCGTTTGGAATATAAAAGAGAAATGTTTTTACGTTATCTTTAATTAGTAATTAACAAAAAAGGTGGAAGCTACGATCCATAAAAGATTGGTGTCTTGAAATAGCGAAATCATTAAATCTACCGCAAGTCGCCCTAAACTGGAAAATCGGAATGCATTTCACCGATATTTTCTCTGTACCAATAGAGAAAATTGTTTAACTAATGTTTGCTTATTAACCATCAATATGTAGTGAGTATTATTCGGTCGCTGCTATTTTAAGAATTAGGTTGTTTGGAATTAATCGCTAATATGGATTAAAATTTTGACTCCGCAACGCGAGTAAGTACAAAATTTTCTCGTCTGTTACATATATATATATATTAAGTTATTTGTTTTTCCATCCAACATGTATTGGGTAGTAAAGTTATCGTATCAACTTAATTGAGCTCCAAAAATAACCACTCTAAATTCCCCTCGAGTTTGCAATCTTAAGAACCGCTGGCAAAAATTTTACTAAAGGGATATCCCTTATGATTGTTACTGACTGTCAGGCTTTCAACGATAGTTGATATAAAAAGGATAGCAATTTCGCTGTTATTCCCACGCCCGGCTTTCGGGAGAAGTTTCCAACAGCGACACGACTTCAAACAATTTTAATGTATGTCGGAATGCTAAGGAGATCGAATTGTGTCAAGGATGGGAAGCTTCAATTCCTCTCATACTACTTCGGGAAAATGCAACAAGGAAGATCAAGACTGATATTATTATCGCACTGATGCCATTATGTTTCTGATCAAATTCCCTACAGCAGGTAAAATCCACATCGAATTGTTTTGATAAAGGGACTTAGGGCTGTAATCGAAACCCAATTAAAATTAAAACTAAATTAATGAAACTATGATTAATTCACTCACGTTAGCTCTTCACGGTCTCTTTATGAATGATTAGATCCCCACAAGTAAGATGCTGAAAGGTTCTGACCAGCCGAGATGTACGTCTTGGCTACTGTGAAGGGGAGAAGCCTTTTTAAATCAATCAAACATACACGACCTCCTTTATAGTTGTTTGTCTGCCTTACTAATTGAACGGATATATATATTTTTTTTAATTTCTTTGTCTCCTCGTAGGGGCACTTGGTATCGCATTTATTAAACGAATACAGATTTTATTTCAATGCTCTGTGTTTTCCTGAAATGATTGAGGTCTACTAAAGAATTGTTCGCAACCATCTTTTCGTCACCATCATCACATCCGCTCTTATTGGAAAAATAAAACTTCTCATCACTTGTTGTTTGGCCAAGTAAACAAATGACTATGCGGTATGAAATGCAAATGACTTGTGATTAATTACACAGGAGATACATCTACAGAGCCCCTTTAATTTCCCTACTAAACCACATGACTGATACCAGCTGTTCTCGTTTACTCACCGAGAAATGGAAGAGGTACTATTTCGAAAGTGTGAGGAGAAATGTTTTAGTTTTCCTGCCCAAACAATTATGAGAACTACTCAGAAAAAGTATTTATGGACTAAAAGTGCACAATTTCCATTAAAAACAGACAAAGGCCGTTCTTCACATATTTCTACCTGCTGGTCAGTTAACCAAATCGGCCCCTGGATCAGTGAAACGTATATCGCGGAAATAATGCAATGTCATTAGACTGGATTTTAAATTTTAAAATGTAAACTTGCGACCAAACTACGTTCCGCAGAAATTGCATGCATTCTTTTCGGTTCATCCTCTTTTTCAGTCACTGCGATGAGCATTGTTTTTAAGCTTTTGCTACAAGCGAATTTCCTTAGCCCTGCTCGGCAAGTTCTATGTAGTGACACTACTCCTTTGCAGATTTCTTGATTTATAATTGGGGCTGCGATGCGTATGAAGTATTTCACATTAGACTTGTCTCTCTGAATAACGTGCATGTCTTAGAGCTCTGTTCGTTTTAAGATAAATGTTACGCTTGGAGGCTATGACTTTGTTGGGAGTTTCAGCATTGAATTGGTCCTACACTACATTGGTCCTCAGGTTTTCCAACAAGAAAAATCACTTCAGCCTTCGCTCCCTCAACCATTCCGAATTTACGAATTTGCCATTCTTGTTTTGCTTCGCCTCCAGCAATTTTCTCTTCGCGAACGTTATTTTTACTTTGAATTTTTATTACTTTCAGTTTTGTGTCGAAATTCCTTTTAAACTCTAACGCTGCGTAAGTCAGACTTAGTTTTTAAACGATTCATTCTTGGGAAACATAATTTGGCTGATGCATCATTCTCGTGATAAGTGTGAATTATTTTCAGAGTTGAATTCTTATGGCAAAGATGACCGCCTAGAGACAGATCACCATTAGCTGATAAATGGGTTATTGTAAATTATGAGCAGACGTTTCCAACCGTGACATCTTTCGTGATGCAAATAACAGGACAATTTGGTTTTATCAACTAAGTTGATAATGGAAATTGGCCATAGTAAAGAGTCTCTACATAGCGTTAGCCCTTCCTTTAGCTGTTAGCCTTTGTCCTGAAATATCAGCTTTAGAAATTCTTTACGGTGGCCAATTACAACATCAACTCAACTTTGTAAGATCTCACACTTACGTAGCTTCACAATTTCTGTAGAAAATTGCCCCCTTATTCATTTTAAAATAACAAATTACAAGTTAAGATATATTTGAAGAAACCAGGAGCTTGCTTTGCAGACAGGCGTCGTCACTTTTCATCAGA